TACATATATAGGTACTACATATGGACCTCTCTCAGATTTGTTTATTTTGTGATGATATCTTCAATTCTCTAATTTTGGTGAATATTTTTGTAATTTTTGGTAAAAAGTGATATTTTCGACTTGTTAAAAACTGTAAGTCCGATTGCTTTGATACTATTCATATTGTTCATTTTCTAATGATGTCTTCAGTTCTTTAATTGAAATGTGCATTGCTAACAGCGGAGCTATCTCAGCTGATAGGCTGCTTGTTTATTCAAAATTTGTTGTTTCAAAAGCGATTGTTTTGTCTTTGCTGTACTTCCTGTCTAGAAAGGCAGCAGTGCACACATCTTACCAGCTGTGTGTAAACTACAAACAGATATCTTATCAGTTGTTTGTAAATAGCAAATAAAGAAAGTGGCCCAACTTAAAACTATTTACCCTCAGTTTAGTTATGTTTGTAAACCATGCATATTAATGAGATGCACTAGTTGGGTGTACACTGGATAAACAAAAACTTGGCCATTTGTTTACACACAAGAAAAAAAATCAGTTTACTTGTACAAGATATTTTTTTTTTTTTTCAATAAAATAAATACACCAATGTATGTAGCATGCTTTAGGGAGCTATTCGTGTGATTTTCAAAAAAAAAATGTGAAAAGTGCCCAAAAAACTATTCTGCTACCTTAATTAATTGTGTATGTTTTTTCTCTGACCCACAAATATAACACTTTGAGCACATTAAGAAAATATGTCTATTTGGACCAAAATTATCAAAAAAATAAAGATGAATACCGGTACATAAAAACAGACAAAATGTTGCTGCCAAAATAAATTAAAGGGGCACACAAAGTGTTTAGGTAGCTAGAGGAGAAAAAGTAGAAGAAAAAAAAATTTCTAAAAGAATTCGCATTATGAAACATTATATTGTGTACTGTACTCTAAATTTACTGTGCGAGATGCATTTGGTTTGTAATTTCAGTTTATTCCAAAAAATCTAGTTGTGGGTAAACACGTCCTCCATATATTTATATATCATTTTGAGTGACAGACTGAAGACAAAGGATTTAATTTGCATACTGAATTGTTGACCATCCTGCTTTATTACGAAAATACTTCAAAGTATGCAGGAAGACAGTACAGCTGGAGTATCAACATCGTCCGAATCACGCGGTCCTGCGTCTTCGACCTATAGGCCTCTACACCATACTATGCAGGATCGCATAGGCTAATTGCATATCTTAAGCAGTGAGATCTGATTGGGTGCGCCTCGAAACAAGGCGCCCAATCAGCTTGGACGCTGTTTTTGCCGCTATGAAGACATCCTTCCCACACAAAACTACGTCGATTGCCTGTACCTGATGAGGCTTGAGGGCACCAATACCGAAAACTTTCGCGATTTTATCATCACAAATATCATGATTCATGGGCCCTGCCATTTTGTTTAAAATGAAAAGCCAAAAAGGGATTTGTAACGCGCAAACTGATTGGACAATGATTAACCGCGACTGACTACTGGGGGCGATGTTAGAATACGCATATTTGATGGTCGTTCTGCCAGAGGCTTGGCCGAAAAAACTTAAACCTTGGCTAGCGAAGATGGAGTATCGACCAACGCGCGGCATACTAAGCGCATACTTTGAGGTATTCTCGTAATAACCTTACTATTATACATCTTTTCCTTCCAAGCATGCATCATAATGCCGAAATCCAAAAAGTTTAGAACAGAATCAGCGAACTTAATTTGTGTGGAGTCCGGTCAAACCCTGATGGCAGCTATGTTTGTCCGAAAACAGTGACTTAAAATTCGGTCTCCGTCTGTCTGGAGTCCTATATTTCAGAATCCTTTGGACCGATTCCGTTCATTCTTTGAATGTGCCTAGTACTTTATGTGAGACATGTGCACATGCAGTGGTTTAGCATTTCAATTCAAAATGGCCGAATGACAGCCATCTTTTTTTTGAAAATGTCAAATTTTGAACATACTTTGTCAGTTTTCATTCAAATTTGGTACATAGATTATACATGTTAGTATACATGACCTCTGTCTGTCCGTGAGTCCATCCGTTCGTCCAGAGTCGTATTTCAGAATCCTTGGACTGATTCCGTTCATTCTTTGCATGTGCCTATTACACTATGTGGGACATATGCACATGCAGTGGTTTAGCAGTTTGATTCAAAATGGTCGACTGGCAGCCATCTTGTTTTTTTTGTAAATGTTGTATTTTGGACGTGCTTTGTCAGTTTTCATTCAAATTTGGCACATACTTTATGCATGTTAGGATTCATGTCCATTACAATTTGTTTCAAAATCAGATCAAGAATGGCCGATTAACATTCATCTGACTTTTTGACCGTAATACTTTATTTCCAAAATGTATGTACCATTGTCAGTTTGTTTTATAATCAGATCAAAGATGGCCGAATAACAGCTGTTTTTATTTTTGGCCATATTACTATATCCCTGTCACCCATGTATCATTTTCATTGATATTTAGCATGTCATAAATGGATACATGTACATGTCAATTAAATTTGCAATTTGATCAAATATGGCCAACTGGTGGCCATTTTGTTTGTTTAAAATGTGATAACTTGGACATGTTTTCACTTGTGATCTGTTTTTCTTTGCTATGTCTTAAACTGGATGGGTTGTCACGCAACATGTGTTCGAATTTGATGTAAACAAACAATATGCCACATGGAACTCGAGTTTCAAGGGCACGTTTATGACAACCCCTGCGCTTTAATACGACAAGCACAAAG